CAAACGACCCCTTGAAGAAGAAGACATGGGCTGTTTGGTGGTGATTTCCTTCTTTCTCAAAGGATGATTTTTGCTCTAAGTTTGTCAGGTATTGCCCGTGCAGTTGAGGTAGTCAGAGCTTGCTGAAGGCCAAAATGTAATACGAACATTAAGACACAGCTAACTTTTGAGCACGGTAAGGGTTCGGGGCTGACCCCCTGCACCATAAAAAATCCATGTATAACTTTTGACTTCTCCAGAACTTAACTCCTGATAGCCTACTATTGAATGGAAACCTTGTGATAACATAAACAGATGATTAACACATATTTTGCATATTATATGTGTTATATGTTGTATTCTTATAGTAAGGTAAGATAAAGAAAATAAATGTTATTAAGAAAATCGTAAGGAAGAGAAAATACATTTACAGTGCTGTACTGTAAAAAATCCATGTATAAGTGGGCCTGTGCAGTTCAGACCTGTGTTGCTCAAGGATCAGCTATAATTACTGTTGCTTAGTACCTACTCTTTGATAGGCAGAATCCACAGGAGTGGCTCTGGGGCTCCCCTTCACCCCTTTGCTAATCCTTACGATCCGACAGACCCTTTTTACCTGCCCTTCAAGCTACCTGTATGTGCCTCCCTGCCACCACCCTGCCAGGTGGCTGTGCACGGACTTGTTTCCAAAACTATAAAGTGTGTGGGTGCCAAAGGGCACAGCGTCCCCTGTCTTGTTTTGTATGGTACAGAAATGAGAGGAATTCTCCTCCTCCCCATTCTGTCACACTGTTACCTGTGTACAGAATTAGTTCTGTTTAGGCCTCCATGGTCTCAGAGTCCTTTGAGAATACTGGTCTTTTAGCTTTTCCTTGTAACCTTTTTTTCTACGATAAAGTTCCTTCAGAAGTACTCAAGGCCAGACCTACGGACTAATTTCTCAAACTGCTCCTTTGCTGCTCCTCTCTCTTTCCCACAGTACACTCATATTCCTATTCTTTTCCAAAAACCCTTTTGCACATTGACTTCTGTGTCCTACCATTAGGCTGAAGTTATTCCATTCAGAGTGTGCACATAGAGACATACACATTACGTCATTCCTCTGAGCTAGCCTGCAAGGTAAGTAGAAGTAACCCCATTCTGGGGGGTATACAGATTCAGTGAGATACAGTAACCTTCTTAGGGTCAGTCATATTGCTAAATGTGGCATTGGAACCCATGTGTGATTCTAGTTCCCTTAGTTTGCAAGTTTTTGTTTTTTTTTTTTACTTGTCCCTCGTATTACCGAAGGAAAGGGCCAAGCTGCTGTAACAGTTCTGCTGACGGGACGGGGAGGACAACTCTGCTTTGACAGAGTTCTTTTCCATCCAAGTCTGTGTTCTTTTCATCCTGTTGGCTCCACCAGGTGTAGGGCAGTGCCGCTGATCAGCCCCACGTACAAGAGTTGAGTTTTACTAGATATTTACAACCTGTGTCTCTTCTGAATGGTTGGACATAGGTTCTGAATGGGCACTGTCTATATCATATAAGTTATTAAATATTTTAAGTGTCACCTTGCCCTGGGTTTCGTCCACATCTGTATGGTTGAAGCTGGTTCACTGCCATGTCTGTATTATAACCCAGGGAAATGGGAAAAGAAATCCAGAGCAATTAGCTTGTTGCAAAAGTGAGGCAACTTAAAATTTGCACACATCACTTCCAGTCACAACCCACTGGTCACCACTTGGACACGTGGCTGCTTGGCTGCAGGGGAGGCTGGGAAATGTCATCTCTAAGCAAGTGGCCTGGTGCTCAGCTTAATAGCAAATGAGGTGGGAGTGGGAATCTAGAACCAAATGGAAGAAGGGAAAAGTGGCTACTTGAGACAGCTTCCACCACATCTACCTAATGTCACTTTTTCAGAAAATCATTTTGTTCAAATTGAACAGAATTACTGTAAATTAAAGACCGTTAGACCTGCCCCATCGGATTGTGAGGTTTAATGAGGTGTCATGTTTTCAGCCCCTAGTACAGAGCCTGGCACATAGCAGACATCTAACACATATATATGCATCATTTAAGAGGCAAGAATTTTAGCTTCAGATTTTGTCTGCATTATAATTGGTAGTTGAGACTATTTTGTGCCATTTTTATGATTTTGTGTAAATGCTTAGGAATTTCTACAGATTTGGACCATACCAAGGTTAATTTTTACACTGAATATCATTTCAAGCTTTGAGTTAGATTTTTTTTTTTTGATTTGCAAAACCAAACCTAAAACAGAAAGTGCTAATTTATTGTATTGAGTCTGAGTGCATAGTAGCAGGTGGCTACTGGTATCTGTTAAATACTTGGCTGATTTTTAGGCTTCAGAGTGAGTTATTTGATGTACAGTAAGACAGATGTCTTAGTAACCAGATGTAGAATCTAGTCATTAGCCGGAATAGATGAAAAATCTGTCCACATTTAGAATCTAATTTGTAACTATTAAAATTCTTTCTGTATATCTATCTATATTAATTATTACTGAATTATCATGACTTAGAAACAACCTTTCATGCTTTATAAATTTGTGATTTGTTGATGGTTAGATAGTTGGGCATTAATGAACAGAAGTTTCTATTGTGGAGGTTGGCTAAACTTCCTAAATTGGGATATATTGATGTCACATTCTAAAGAATCCTATACTTCAGATAAGAAGTGACTAATTAACAAAAATCACATGATTTGGACTGGAAATATCTTTCAATTGAGCATGGTTTGTGTTCGCCAAAATTTTCAATATAATATTTTTTAAATAGTCACAATAAGCCAAGATCAGATTGTTATATGAAATAATATAATCAGAAACTCATATATCTATATTTTCCATTTCTTAAATAAAAATAAATGCTACCTTGTAAGATATTATTGCAGGTTTTTCTCTTTAGCCTTTTAGTGTATGTTTAAATATTATTTTGAGGACATAAGAAAAAATACAATATGTTCTTAGGTATTGAAGTGGGAGTTTGAAGGCAAAATGGTCTGTAGTCTAAATAAGTAAGTAAAAATTTTAAATAAATAACTGTTTTTATTTTAATGTATATAGAAATTTTTATCACAAATATGAAGTATTTTATATAAGTGAGCATGTAGATGGGAGAAAACTATATTAATTCTGTAGATCATTGTCATAGCTTTATTAAAACATTCAGTTATGTATTTATTTTTTTAATCCTCGTGTTTTATGGGCTCTTGGATCTGTGGGGGAATGGTAGTTTGTACTCTAATTGGTCATTCAAACAAGAATTTTGCTGCTCCCTGAGCTATATGCAGTAGATATGCAAATGAACAGCCTGACATACTATTTTGAAATTGTTAATACAGTTTGTATGTAGCGTTAACTTTATGTAATCTTACAAACAAGTCTTACATAAATTCCAAGTTGGCTGTGGAGGGTGTGTATGTATAAAAAGATATATATATATATGTACAAATATTTATGTGCATATATATTTGTGTGTGTATGTATGGGTGTGTGTATAGATACAATTTTTTAAGTAATTTCTGTACCCAACATGGGGCTCAAACTCACAACCCCGAGATCAGTAGTCACAACTGACTGAGCCAGCCAGGCACCCCTATATATAATTTTTTAAAGCAGATGGCAGGGTGATGTAGTGATAGCTGGAATATGAATAAAATACATGTAATAAAAGAAAATTCTAATTATATGTAATGCTACCAGGAGCTTGCAGATAATACTATGATGATAATATTAGATAAAATTTATCGCAGTGGTAAAAGGTTTGCATGAATTGTCTTGTTTAATTTATTTAGTAACTCATGAGATAGGTACTGTTACCTTCAATTTAACAGGGAGGAAACAGAGTTAGAAAGGGTAAGTCACTTGACAAAGGTCAAACAACTGTTAGTTTCCTACTGCTGCTGTAACCAGTTGTCACAAACTTAGTGGGGAGGTGAGAAGTCTGAAATGGGTGAGAAGTCTTTGGACTGAAATCAAAGTGTTAGGGCTGTGTTCTTCCGGATGCTCTAGGGGGAGAATCTCTTTCTTCCCTTTTCCAACTTCTAGAGGCTGCTGAAATTCCTTTCCTCCATCTTCAGAGCCAGCAGCATCCATTAAGGCTGTCTGATGCTGTCATCCCTCTGGTTCTCTCTTCCAATTATCTCTTCCCCTTTTAAGGATTCTTGTGATTACAGTGGATCCACACAGATAGCCCAAGGTAATTGCTCTAGTCTAAGGTCATCTGATTAGCAACCTCAATTCAAACTGCTGCCTAAATTCTCCTTTACCCTGGAGCCTGACCTCTTCACAGGTTCTGGGTATGAGGTTCCGATCATCTTTGGAAGCCATTATTCCGCTTACCACAGTAGTATAACTGGAACTGGTCCTCAACTCTGTATGCCTCTAAAGCCATTCCTTTAGGAAATTCAAAACCCAACCCTGAAGTCATTTTTTTCAGGGTGGTTTTGCACTTATTGAACATGATCTTAATGAGGGTCGGATAACTTTCATAGCAGTTTAGGGAATTTAGCTTTCTCTATATAAACTATGGAGAAAGTGATCTCATTTGTATGTTGTAAATACCCGATACATTTTTTAAAAGTTTAATTGGCAGGAAAAGAGAATCGTGATTAGGATTCAAATATAAGAATACTAAATAACAATCTCTTGTAATTTAAATAATAAATATTGTCCTTAAAACTTTGTACTACTTAGTAACACTTAATCATCTCATTTCTGGTATTTGGGGCATTGCTTCACACAGGAATCAGTATTTTATGTATAAGTTTTTACAATTTTGATAATGGTTAACTAATTTATTTTAAAGCTCTTCTTTTTAAACTGATAATATTGGTTGCCTCTGAGGAAGGGAAGTGCCTGTCTGGAAGATAAAGGGAAGAATTTTCACTGTATGTCCTTTTGTACTTTTTGTACTTTGATAAATGTGAATGTATAAACTAAAAACAAATAAAACTGTTAACTTTTTAAAGTAGGGTAAAAGAACAGCTCCTAATTTTTCACTGTCTCCACTCTCCAGGATCACCCCTTTTATGTCATTCTGTGAGGAAAATTAGTTCTCAAGGAGAAAAATCCAAACCCATCAAACAATCTCTTAAGAAGCCAAAGTTACCAGAAGGTCGTTTTGATGCACCAGAAGATTCTAATTTAGAGAAAGAACCACTGACAAGTGAGTATGGGCTTACCTCACGGATATTACGGGTTTGGTTCCAGACCACTGCAGTAAAACAAATATGGCGGTAAAGTAAGTCAAATAACTGTTTTTGGCTTCCTAGTATGTATAAAAGTTATGTTTACACTATACTGCAGACTGTAAAGTGTGCAATAGCACTGTGTCTAAAAAAACAATATATATACCTTAATTTAAAATACTTTATTGCTAAAAAATACCATCACCTGATCTTTCAGTGAATCATAATGTTTTTCTGATGGAGGGACTTGCCTCAGTGTTAATGGCTGCCAACTGATCAGGGTGGTGCTTGCTATAACAATTTCTCAAATTGGACAACAAAGAAGTTCGCCACATTGATTTATTTCTTTCATGAAAGACTTCTCTGTAGCATGAGATGCTGTTTGGTAGCATTTACCCACAGTAGAACTTTCAAAATTGGGGTCAATCCTCTCAAACCTTGCCACTTCTTTGTCAACTAAGTTTGTGTAATAGTCTACCCTTTGTTGTCGTTTGAACAGTCTTCACAGTATCTTTCACAGGAGTATATTCCATCTCACAAAACCACTCTTTGCTCATCCATAAGAAGCAAGTGCTCATCTGTTGAAGTTCTACCAAGAGATTGCAGTAATTCAGTCACATCTTCAGGCTCCACTTCTAGTTCTAGTTCTCTTGCTGTGCCCACATCTGCAGTTAACTTCCTCCACTGAAGTCTTGAACTCCTCAAAGTCATCCCTGAGGGTTAGAATCAACTTCTTCCAAATTCCTTTTAATGTTGATATTTTGACCTCTTCCCATGAATCATACAAGTTCTTCATGGCATCAAAATGGTGAATCCTTTCCAGAAGGTTTTCAACTTACTTTGTCTGAATCATCAGAGGAATCATTACCTATGGCAGCGACAGCCTTATAAAATGTACTTCTTAAATAAGACTTGAAATTAGAATGACTCCTTGATCCACGGGCTGCAGCATGGATGTGTTAGCAGGCATGAAAACATTAACCTCATTGAACATTTCCATCAGAGCTCTTGGGGGACCAGGTGCATTGTCAATGAGCAGTCATATTTTGAAAGGAATCTTTTTTTCTGAGCAGTAGGTCTCATCAGTGGGCTTAAAATACTCAGTAAACTATGCTGTGAACACATGTGCTGTCATCCAGGCTTTGTTGTTCCATTTATGGAGCACAGGCAGGGTAGATTTAGGATAATTTTTAAGTGTCCTAGGATTTAGGGAATGGTAAATGAACACCGGCTTCAACTTAAAGTCACCAGCTGCATTAGCCCCTAATAGGAGAGTGAGCCTGTTCTTTGAAGCATTGTAGCCAGGCATTGACTTCTACTCCCAGCTATGAAAGTCCTTTTTCCAATAGAAGGCTGTTCCATCCACATGGAAAAACCTGTTGCTCAATGTAGCCACCTTCATTATTTATCTCAGCTAGATCGGGATAACTTGCTGCAGCTTCTATATTAGCCCCTGTTGCTTCACCTTGTGCTCTTTGATGTTATGGTGATGTCTTCTTTCTCCATATAAGCAATAAAGCTGTTTGCTTTCTTATGGTTTGTGCGTTCACTGAAGTAGCACTTTTCATTTCCTTCAAAAACTTTTCCTTTGCCTGCACAATTTGGCTAACTGGTTGTCGCAAGAGGCCTAGCTTTGACCTATCTCGGTTTTCAGTGTGCCTTCCACATTAAGCTTAATCATGTCTAGCTTTTGATTTAAAGTGAGAAACATGTGACTCTTCCTTTCACTTGAACACTTAGAGGCCATTGTAGTGGTATTAATTGGCCTAATTTCAGTATTGTTTTGTCCCAGGGAGTAGAGAGGTCCAAAAGGGGGAAAGACAAGGGAACAACTGTTTAGTGGAGCGGTCTGAGCACATGCAACATTAATCAGTTGACTGTTTTATATGGGTATGTTTCCTGATGCTCCAAAACAATTACAATAGTAATATCAAAGATCACTGATCATAGAGCACCATAATAAATGTAATAATAATGAAAAAGTTTGAAATATTATGAGAATTAACTAAAACATGACACAGAAACACAAAGTGAGCAAATGCTATTTGGAAAAATGGCACCAATAGACTTGCTCATAGTAGGGATGCCACAATTTGTAAAAAAAAAAAAAAAAAAAAAAAATGCAATATCTGTGAAGCATAATAAAATAAAGCTTCTCTTAATTTTTGAAGTGTCAAAGAAAGTATTTTAGTTATTGAGAAAAAAGAATGAAAGAAACATGTTGTTTATAATTCTTTATCAACAACACACTGACCATCACTTTGGGTAGGTTTAGAAAAAATAATTTCCAAACCCCTCACAATGATTGACTGTGTTTGTTTTATTTACTATACCCCATTATTCACATGACAAAGTATATGAATTGAGACCTGTTTCGATGCAAATAAGTTGAAAACCACTTGAGCAGACTTAAACAAAAGGTAGTGCAGGTTGTTACTGGGCTACAAGGTACACAGGTGGGGTACCCCAGGGCAATGATGCTTCTGGGCCTTGGAAAAAAATGGATCTTGGGAGTAAACACTATGTGGAAACCAGGACATTCTTCCTCCTTCTCTTGTCTCTGTTCTTCTCTTCATTCTTTTCTGTCATCAGACTCCCTTCTAAGTCCACTGGGTGGAAGGAACTGCTCCTTGCTGCTACTCAGGTCAGTAGAGCAACTAGACTGAAAATACAATTGTTTAGTTCTAATTCCAAATTTCTCTCTCTTTTTTTTTTTTTAAGGATTTTATTTATTTATTTGACAGAGACAGCGAGAGCAGGAACACAAGCAGGGGGAGTGGGAGAGGGAGAAGTAGGCCTCTCGCGGAGCATGGAGCCCGATGTGGGACTCGATCCCAGGACCCTGAGACCATGACCTGAGCCGAAGGCAGACGCCTAACAACTGAGCCACCCAGGCGCCCTCTTTTTTTTTTTATTTTTAAGATTTATTTATATGAGAGAGTGAGAGCACACCGGGTGGGGGTGAGGGAGAGGAAGTGAATCTTGAACAAATTCCCTGCTGAGTGTGGAGCCTGAGGCGGGGCTAGATTCCAGGACCCTGAGATCACAACCTGAGCCAAAACCAAAAGTTGGTCACTCAACCAACTGAGCCACCCAGACGCCCCTAATTCCAAATTTCTTAAGAAGAGAGCTCATTGGCCAAGCTTAGATCAGGTGTCTATAGCTAAATCAATCTGAGTGGCCAGTGGGGTGGGTCACAGGTGAAGGTGGTTATTCTCACCATAGCCATGTGGTTGGAGAAAGAGAAGGGGAAGTTTGGAGAAAGAAGAGGTTTTTGGAGGGTGGTGGGATAATAGACTAAACATTGTTTTGTATTTAGTACATACAAAATTTGGTTCATGTCTTAAAGCTCTGTTTTTTAAAGTGCTACTTTATTTTCATTCTATACTCTTTTGTACCTTTGAATTGTGGAACATGTGCAAGTATTAGCTATTCAAAAAATATGATTTTAGATAGTGTAAATGTAAACATACCAGTCTGAAACTTTGGCATGCCACCCCTGCTTGTCTCCTGAGAGTTAACCCATCCATGTAGTGAAGCATCCTAGGCAAGAAGATATCAACAGAGGATACAGGGACCTGTATCTGGAGCTCTTTAGAATATAAAAGCTTTTCTTTTTGTTCATTCAGTTAAATATTTCAGTTTATAGCACTATTAATCCCAGTCTAATAACCAGATCAGTCAGTCAGCCAAAATGATGGAGACTTTTAAAAAGCATAACCTAAAGGTAAAATTCTTCTTTCATAGTTTTAGCCAAGCACAAAAATCTAAGAGGAAATTTTTCATTAAAACATCATACACAAAAGTAGCAATCCCAGAAGTAAACCCTCACATATATGCTCAATTGGCTTTTGAGAAGGTTGCCAAGATCATTCAGTGAGGGAAAAGACAGTCTTTTCTATACGTGGTGCTGGGAAAACTGGATATCCACATGCAAAAGAATGAAATTGGACCCTTACACCATAAATAAAAATTAACTCTAAATATGTCAAAAACCTAAAATTAAGAGATAAAACTATAAAATTCTTTGATGAAAACACTGGGAAAAATCTTCATGATATTGATTTTGACAGCCGTTTCATGGTTGTGACACCAAAAGCATAGACGGCAAACACAAAAGTATATAAATTGGACATTATCAAAATTAATAAATTTTGGACATCAAAGGACATTATCAAGGAAGTGAAAAGAAAACCTACGGAATGGTGGAAAATATTTGTAGATCATACACCTGACAAAGAATATCAAGAGTGTGTAGAAAACTCCTACAACCCCACAAAAACAACTCAATTCAAAAATGGACAAATGACTTGAATATACATTTCTCCAAAGATACACAAATGACTAACAAGCACTTGAGAAGGTGCTTAACATCACATTCCTTACAAATCAAAACCACAGTGAGACACCACTTCACACAAACTAGGATGGCTACAATTTAAGAAAAACTGGAAAATAAGTGGCGGCAACAATGTGGAGAAATTGGGACCATCCTGTGTTTCTGGTGGGAATGTAAAATGATGCAACTACTCTGGGAAACAATTTGGCAATTTCTCAAAAAAGTGAGATATAGAACCCAGCAATTCTACTCCTAGGTATATATCCAAAAAAATTGAAAGCAGGACCTTGAGCAGATATCTGTATACCTGTGTTCATAGCAGCTTTATTCATAGTAGCCAAAAGAAACAACTCAGATGTCCATCAATAGATAAATGGATAAACAAAATGTGGTATGTGGAATACTACTCAGTCATAAAAAGGAATGGCATTTTGATTGTGCTACAATGTAGATGAACCTTGAAAACATTATGCTTAGTGAAATGAGCTAGACATGGACAAATATGATTCCACTTAAATTATGTACCTAGAGTAGGCAAATTCATAGAGACAAGGTAGAATATAGGTTATCAAAGTCTTGAGGGAGGGGGGGAAAAGGAAAGTTTTTGTTTAATGGGTACAGAGTTTATATTGAGGATGATGAAAAACTTTTGGGTATAGATAGTGTAATGGTTACAGACCACTGAGAATGTAGTTAATGCCACTGAATTGTATACTTACAAATGGTTAAAATGATAAATGTTATATATATTTAATACAATAAAAAAGAAAAAAGTACATTTCAAAAGGTAATCATCTGTTTGATACAATGCTAGGTATTCATCTTAACTTTTGAATCACTGAAATTTATGTTGAACATACCATCTCTTAGAAGCTGGTCTAGTAAACATCACCAAACCCAGCAAATGCTTTTCAATCCTCATTTTATAGGAACTGTCTATAAGCTTTGGCATTGTTAACCATTGCTTCTGGAAATCTCCTGTCTTGGTTTTGGTTATGCGTTGTCCAGTTCCTCCTCCTATTCCTTGAACCATTTCTTCCTGAACTCTTTTTTAAGCTCTTCTACCTCTGCCCAAAAGCAGAGGTTCAGAAATCTGGGGATAATTCTTCACTCCTGCTTCTTCCTGTGTCCTGGCTCCTAGTGTTATTGATACCACCTCCTTAACATTTGTCAACTCATCTCCTCTTATCCATCCTACCAGTAAAGCCCAAATTCAAGCATCTATGGTTCTTTTGGTCTGTCTGCCTTGTTTCCTTCCTTCTAGGCTTGTCTCCCTGCCTCTGGTACATATGTCATTCTAAGAAAAGTGTATAGGTTGTCCCTTTGCAGAGAGTAGACTTCGTTATTAAGATAATAAAGGAAGATTGTTTGCAGCTGAGCACCCTGTCTGATGCAAGGATGAATAAGGAAAATGAGATACAAAAATAACTGAAGGGGCGCCTGGGTGGCTCAGTCGGTTAAGCGTCTGCCTTCGGCTCAGGTCATGATCCCAGGGTCCTGGGATCGAGCCCTGCGTTGGGCTCCCTGCTCAGCGGGGAGTCTGCTTCTCCCTCTCCCTCTTCCCTACCACTCCCCTGCTTGTGAGCACTCTTTCTCTCTCTCTGTCAAATAAATAAAATTAAAAAAAAAAATAACTGTGAATAGGACGTTGTGTGATAACTGGCATAAGAGATATGCAAAAAAAGTTCAGAAGAAAAATAGAGAAAAGAGATAACATTTGAGCTGGGGTTTAAAGACACAATAAAATCATAAGTAGTTAAGGAATGGTGGGGAGAGGGGCGCCTGGGTGGCTCAGTCGTTAAGCGTCTGCCTTCAGCTCAGGTCATGATCCCAGGGTCCTGGGATCGAGCCCCACATCGGGCTCCCTGCTCAGTGGGGAGCCTGCTTCTCCCTCTCCCACTCCCCCTGCTTGTGTTCGCTCTCTCGCTGTCTCTCTTTGTCAAATAAATAAATAAATATATCTTTAAAAAACAAAAAAGGCATGGTGGGGAGATGTTTCAAAAAAGAGAAAGGTGTGGTCAGAGAGAAAGAGGCTGGGGAACATGATACCTGTGAGACACGGCCAATGGGCCTGCTTGGCTGCAGCATAGAGTGTACATAGTGGATTAATAGAATCTAAAGCCAGAGAGGTAGATATGGCTCAAATCTGGGAGGGCCTGAAGGATCAGATTATAGCATATGGGCTTTCTGCAGTAGACAGTGAGGAAAGCTCTGAATGCTTTTGAAGGCAGATTATTTTAATCAGCTTTACTATAGTATAATCTGCATATAATACAATTCACCCATTTTAAGTAAACAGTTCCATGAATTTTAACAATGTTTATAGTCATGTAACCAACACAAAGTATACAACAGTTCCATCCCACAAGGAGCCCCTAGTGCCTCTATAATTAGTCTCACTTCCCCAACCCCTAGCAACTATGAATCTGTTCTCCGTCACTATAATTTTGCCTTTCCTAGGATTTTATATAAATGAAATCATACAGTACATAGTCTTTTGTGTCTGGTGTCTGGCTTCTTTCACTTAATGTAATGTGGAGGAGGGATTCTGTTTTAGAAAGATGAATTCATCCTTCTGTGCAGATTAGGCTGAAGTCATGAGAGTCAGAAAACGGAAGAGTTAGAAAACTCTTACATTATTAGTCTAGAATGTGACTCAGCATAACTCAGGGTGGCACTAGCGAGAGTAAAAAGTTTCAGAAAACTGCAGGTTATAATGAGGGTGAAAATTAGGTTAAAGAAACATGAGGGAAAAGCCTCCGTAGAAGCTTCCAGTCAGAAAGAAGAAAGCTCAAGAGTTTGGGACTTAGAGAAGGAACATATTCAGGAGATAATGAAATCGAAGCAGATGGTGCAAGTGGACGTGAAGACCACTAGGAAAGAGGACCAAGGTCCTCTGTGTCCTCGGTATGTGAGGTTACTAACGTGGGTGTTCATAGGAAGGGTGATGGGGAGAGGTGAAGCTGCGAACCAAGTTCTGATCCTATCCAGGAAGGCAGAAGAGTCTTTATTACCAGACTGGAGAAAAGCACTGGACAAGTGAATGGTGTGGAATTCAAAAGAGGAAAGGCTTGTAGAGGTTTGGTGGGAGAATGAGAAGCTGGAAGTAGGAGTGAGGCACAGGGATATCGTGACCCTCTCTTCCCTAGTGCTGGGGACTGAATTGTGTCTCCCTGAAATCCATATTTGAAGCCCTAACCCCCAAAGTGGTGGTATTTGGAGATGGGGCCTTTGAGAGATAATTAGGTTTATCATTATCTCTCAAAGGCCCCATCTCCAGATGGGGCCCCGTGATGGAATTAGTGCCCTAATATTAAGTGACACTAGAGAGCTGGCCGTCTTGCTCTCCCTGCCGTGTGAGGACACAGGGAGAAGGGGCCATCTGCAAGCCAGGAAGAGAGTCTTCACCAGACCCAGCCACGCTGGCACCCTGATCTCAGACTCGTAGCCTCCAGAAGTGTAAGAAAGTTAATTTCTGTTGTTGAAGCCACTCAGTCTGTGGTAGTTTGTTATGGTGGCCCAAGTTGACTAAGACACTCAGTGAGCCCCAGAAATAACGGGAGACAGAAGAGCTTCCCTTAGAGGCTTTCAGAGGAAGTCCAAGGATGGAGTTCTTTAGAAAACAGAATGATAAGTGGGGAAGAGTTTATTCACAGTAGGGAAAAAATTTTTAAAAATAGATAAATATTTGAAAATTTTCAAGGTAAATTCTCTCTTTTCTTTTTCCTAGGGAGGGACTACATGATTTTGGTGATGTTCATTTAGCTTTGTAAAGAGACACAGGAGAAGAATTGGGGTTCCTTCTAATAGGTGATTCGTCTCCTGCTCTTCCCATATACAGAGCAGTAGTTTATGGGCTAAGTATAAGACTGCAACCAGAATGTCTGAATTCAAACTCAGTTTTACCACAGTAGTAGCAGTGTAACCAGGAGCACCTTTCTGAACCTCTTTGTACCTCATTTTCCTCGTCTCTAACATGGAGACAATAATTGTTCCTGTCCCATAGGATTATCATGAGGACAAAACAAGTTACTATGAATAAAGCACTCAAAAGTGGGCCTGACTCAAGATGGATGGTCTTATTATGAACACACAGTATTAATAGTAACATCTGTTATGTCCATAAATGGCAGTATCAGCTAACCATTTACTGAAGCCAAAACCCTATGAAGAAGGGCAAGAGTCCTCTTAGCTAAAATTAATTGATCGTTCTTATGTACCCAGCACTGAGCTAGATCCTTTACATGCATTTCTTCGTTTAATTCTCAACAGACTAAATCAGGTACGATTGTTGTACCCATTTTACTGATAAGAAAACTAAGAAATTGAGCCAAAGTAATCTTGTTTCAAGACCTTTCAAACCTTACGGATTTGTACTCTGTATTCCCTGCATTTCTTTCCTTCTCTTACAATCCATCAGCATATATGCAGCTAACTCCCCACACTGGGACCTGAGAACATTCCAGGAATTCTAAGTAATTAATTTGGTAATAAAGTTCATTGAATATGACAATTGTATCCTGAAGTGATTTCTCAAACTTGGGAAAAAGAACCACATTTACAGTTCATTTAAAAGGCTGCGTAGTAATAACCTAGTCAGTGGTATGTACTGTAACCCTGTCTTCAGGATTGGCCATAATGCCTTTCTCGTCCCTATTGACTACTGTTTTTGCATCTTCTGTCTTTCTTTAGAATTTCCAGATGACATTAATCCTGTTACCAAAGAAAGAGGTGGACCCAGAGGCCCAGAACCTACCCGATATGGAGATTGGGAACGAAAAGGACGCTGTATTGATTTTTAAGACACATATTATTAACTTCAGTATCTTTTTCTGAATATGTACATCTGAATTTATTTCCAGTTGTTTTCTTTCTGTATATCCTTTAAGTCATTTAATTTCTATAATGTGTTTAAAAACATAAATAATGCCTGAAAGAAAATATGCTGCTATAAATTAAGGGGAAATAGTTGTACATTAGCACATTAATTTAATTTAAATATATTGGAGTATATAAATGGCAATTAGAGCGCAAACTCATTTCATCACATTTCAGTTTATGTTAATCAGCTGCTTATAAAATGCAAATGTAAATACAAGTTTTAATGATTTTTATTGCCGCATGCTAGGTAATAGTGACTTTTTAAATGTGAGTTAAGTAACACATTATAGTTTGATAAGGCCACAGTAACAACAGAAAATCTAACTCCAGAGCCAGTTTACTTGGGTTCAAATCCTGGCTCTGCTACTTATTAGCCATGTGATCTTGGATAAGTTATTTAACTTCTCCACATCTCAGTTATCTTCATGCATAAATTGGAGTTAATGCTAGTTCTACCCTATCAGATAGTGAGAAGATATTTAAGTAAGTACATGTAAACCACTTGGAGCAGTGCATAGCACATAGCTCTCAGTGTGTTAGCTATCCTTCGATCTTAAATGTATTTTTCCAAGACTCTGGCTTTCTGTGGAGAAATATTAAGAAACCAAGTTTGAAATACTTGAACTGAAATTGTTTTATATGAATGTAACATTAAAAAATCATTAGTTGGAAAATTAGTGATTTTTTGCATGGATTAACTGAGCTGAAATATATACCAGTTTGTTAAACATGAAATTTAGATACAGAGGGTCAATATGAGGAAAGCAGGGGATGAAATGGGCCAGCTTAGTTTTGATGACTCAGAAGCTCTTATATTGTGGCCCTTGGATAACTGGGTCAGGAAAAGGCATGTGCAGTTTACAGATGTGGAATGAAGGGAGGGTGGAGACTGCTCGGCTCGCTGAGGCGTCCTATGCTGTCCTCTGGCCTTACTCAGTCCCAGAGATTGGACCTTCAGCCCCCAGGCTACACTTAAATTACTTAGAAAGAAAGGGTTTGCAGGGTCTGTAGAAGACAATGCAGGGAGCTGATAATGCTGTAATACGACTTATAAGAGCAATATTATTTGAGAAGATAATAGGAGATTTATACAAGAGAATAAACTTTCCTAAAAGTGTATTCTCCTCAGAAACTAAGTAGTGTAGTAATTGGGCCTTGTCATTCAGTCTTGGTATCGGTTCTCTCTCTCCCAGTCAACATTTGTTCTTCTAATGGCCGTTACTGTGTATTCCGTTGAGCAATAACCACATTCCTTTAAAAATATTCTGTAGGGGCGCCTGGGTGGCACAGTCAGTTAAGCGTCTGCCTTCAGCTCAGGTCATGATCCCAGGGTCCTGGGATTGGGCCCTGCGTCGGGCTCCCTGCTCTACAGGAGGCCTGCTTCTCCCTCTCACACTCCCCCTGCTTGTGTTCCCTCTCTAGCTGTCTCTCTCTCTCTCTGTGTCAAATAAATAAATAAAATCTAAAAAAAAAAAAAATTCTGTAATTTAGTCATCCTTCAATTAGCCCACATTAGTGTAAGTTTTTATTAGGTTAACATTCCAGGAGTACTATGTCAAATTATTTTGTATAGTTTTGCCTGTGTTTGTGGTATGTGATACAGGAGAGATAACTTAGATACTTCAAAAATGAATATAAAATATGTAACAACCAAAGACTTCCAAAAGATGTAGCACTGGAACTGCATCACTCACATCTCGTCCTATGGGAAGCAGAGTTGACTGAGAACTGCAGCTGCTGCCCCATGGGATCCACCCCTGTGTTCCTGCTGAGGCTGCACTTCCTCCAGGCTGTTCCCAGCCAATGAATGAGTATGTTGGCCCACTCCCCTCATGGATGACATTGGCTCAGGGACTCCCCATTAGCCGGCTCAGTACTTTCCTCGGACTGTACTGCTGTCTGAGACTCTTCCTACCCAATCCTCCTTTCCTTCTCTCTCCCTTCATAGGTGTCAGACTCTGCCTACTTGTCCCCTTCATGATTCAAAACGTTTCCCCGGTAAATCACATTTAATCCCATTTTATCATTTGTTTCTCAGAGAACCCAAACTAATGTGTATAGTTTTAAAAGAACAGCCTATAAAAGAACAACTTATAGACAGGTTTTTAGAAAATGCCACAAAGCTTGTGGCTTTTTCTAGTACAACATAGTCTAACCATTTAAATTTTACATTGCTTGGGGATTCTGGGAAATTATAGATTGTACATTTATACAGAAGGCTCGTACCCTGGAAGCTTGTACATTTTAGGTGTTTTGGTAGAATTGAATTATGTCCAGCATTTTTCTTATTGTGATGTCAGTTGCTGTGACCTACTATGAGTCAAAATCTACTGTTAACCTATTATTAACTTGAAGAGCTAGCCTAAAGCCATATTCTGCAAATAAATAACAAATGTTCATTGGTTAAATAGTATGGCTTACAATGAAAACAGTAATTGTTAATGATGAATCAGCAAATTTTTGTTTTTTTTTTTTTTGTATCAGCAATTTTAATGATACTTTCAGAACAGGGCAGTAATTTTTACAAGTGCAAGATAAGAATGGCAGTGGACTTTTTTTTTTTAAGATTTTATTTATTTGACAGAGAGATGGAGAGCACAAGCAGGGGGAGTAGCAGGCAGAGGGAGAGGGAGAAGCAGACTCCCTGCTGAGCAGGGAACCCGCCACGGGGCTGATCCTGGGACCCTGAGATCATGACCTGAGCCAAAGGCAGATGCTTAACTGACTGAGCCACCTAAGCGCCCCAAGGCAGTGGACTGTTAACCAATACTGATTGAACAGTTATGAAGGAAAGTAAAATGAAGAATGCCTGAGTTCATTCCTGCATTCAGTTGATTCTATTTAATCAGTGATTGTTCAGATATTCTGCTAGTCTCTGTGTATTTGGTGATGAATGAAACAGAGCCCTTGCCATCCTGTCATAAAGTCTGATGGATTTGATTTACACATGAGAACAATTCCAAATGATAACTGACTGAAGACTAAATGCATTGCAAGTGACTGTACTTCACCCCAACCCAACCAAAGGGAACTTCCAACGTTTGATGAGGCTTTCACTTTCTGGATTTTTATTACTAGATGACTCTTTAGAAATCTAAGTGTTCACCTTTTTAAATTTAAACAGATTCTGTGAGATATGGATCTAGTCAAATATTCATTCTGTGATGAGTTGTGCTCTGACCTTGCCATATATCAGACATTGACCTAGGCACTGACCAGGAAGGTGTGGAGTGAACAGAGTGATGTAATTAAGATTCCTGGACATGTAAAGCTTCCTCAAGCCGTTCCTGGCTCCAGAAGGGCATTTTTGGCAGGCATCCCTCTGCTCAGCCACTGGAACTGAAGCTGCCTCTGACTTCCCTAAGCCAGGACTGGCTGTTATGAATGAATTATAAAGAATATTGAATGATCCATGCATAGGAGGGGATATGTGAATATTAAGAAATATTTATCATGATTAAGTATTTGGTGTTGGTTCTGTGTCCTCTGGGGACTTTGTTCTAAGTCTTCCTCCTTGAGATCTTTCATTCATAGAAAGACACCGCTTTCCTGACCCTCCCATTGACTCTGGCCTTGTTCCAACATATGCTGCTTTTGCATCTCCCTCCTTTTCTCCTCAGTGGGGGCAATACTATATATTCTGTCTAAACCAACTTCTCTCGTGATCACCCAAATCTGGATGGAAAATTAAAAAGGTAACCTCTAATATTCAAGGTAACCTCTAATATTCAACCTATTATTAGAGGTTACCTTTTTAGATAAAGTAACAGAATCTACTGTTTCAGCACTCTTTGGTCTTAAGGCCCTTTTATACTCTAAAACTCTTGGAGGTCCCTTAGTTGTTTAGGACCCCAAAGAACTTGTGTTTACGTGTGTCGTATCTATTGATATTTACCATGTTAGGAATGAAAACTGAGCAATATTTAATTAATTTTAAAATAATCCCAGGGGCGCGTGGGTGGCTCATTCGTTAAGCGTCTCCCTTCGGCTCAGGTCATGATCCCAGGGTCCTGGGATCGAGCCCCGCATCAGGCTCCCTGCTCGGCAGGAAGCCTGCTTCTCCCTCTCCCACTCCCCCTGCTTGTGTTCCTGCTCTCACTGTCTCTCTCTCTCTGTCAAATAAATAAATAAAATCTTTTAAAAAAAAATAATCCCATAATTGGGGCACCTGGCTGACTCAGTAGAGCATGCAGCTGTTGATCTCAGGGTCATGAGTTTGAGCCCCACCTGGGGTGTAGAGATTACTTAAAAATAAAATCTTAATAATAAAATAACCCCATAACAAACCCATTACATGTTAACATAAAATAGCATTTTTTTGGAAAAATAACTAATTTTTCTAAAACAAAAATTAAGAAAAGTCATATTGTTTCAAATTTTTGTAATCCTCTTTTATGTCTAATAGAAGGCAGCTGTATTTTCATATCCTTTTCTGCATTCAATCTGTTGTGATGCTGCTTTCTTTTTTTTAAGATTTTATGTAATCACTTGAGAGAGAGAGTGAACGAGCACAAGCAGGGGGAGTGGCAGAGGGAGAGGGAGAAGCAGGCTCCCCGCTGAGCAGGGAGCCCGACAAGGGGCTCGATCCCAGGACCCTGGGATCATGGCCTGAGCCAAAGGCAGACGCTTAACTGACTGAGCCACCAGGCACCCCATGATACTGCTTTGATTGAGGTGTATCGAAGAAAAAAGCTGGCTTCACACAGACCCAAAGTTAGAAAATGGAGGATCTCACAGATCCCCTGAAAAGGCCTTGGGGAACCCCAGAGTCCTTGGACCACAAACTTCAAGAACTGCTGAGTCAATTAAGTAGAAAGGAGGGTACTAAATGCAGGGCAAGCAGAACTGGCTGAGCCTCCAAGACCAAGTTTCAGAACCACACAACAGCGCTGGCTGGAGAAAGGAGCTGGTACCTGAAATTCTAGTTGGCTGCACCTCTTCCAGGCAAGAACCCGCTGACCACTGGATGGTCACAGCCACCACTGTAGCCACCTGAGCCCCGGAGGCTGCCGCCAACCACACTGACGAAACAAAGACTTGGTAGCTTCCCCTCCACCCCCATCTATCCTATTTCTGCATCATTGTCCTCTGTGGGTGGACACTAAAGTCAGATGTCTGTCTACCCTAGTGGAGGATAGGACATGTACTGTCACCGAATTCTGTGTGGCTTTGGGAGGCTTCACACTAGGGAACTTACCAGATGTAGAGATGGTGTTCAAAAGATTTTGTGCAGATGTTACGTGTCAACCACTATCACCTGAGAAAACTAGTTGAGAATCAGCTTTATTGGGGCATCAAATTGTGAAATATGTAAAATATAATGTAGACCTTTAAAAAATAAGATTTGCGTGATCCCTAAGACACATTAAATGTCTATTCTTGCTCATTTGAAGAATGCTTTAATAAAGATTGGACATCTGAGCCTGTAATTTCTTTTTACGCCACTTACATAGCCTTGGTTAATGAATATGAACATTAGTTATGTGAAAGTTGCTTAAAATTCAGGAACAGCCCATATTCATTTAAAATATAGTCTAGATATATTTAGGCCCTGCTTTTCTAACTTGGTCATGGCAAGTGGAATCTTGTTTAAAGCCTTGAAACTGCAAGTACTCCTAATTAGGAGTTTTACTAGCTGTTGCTAGTAAAAAGGAATCATGGACAGATTGAGA